TATCTGGACACCAAGGTCAGACTGATTATTTAAACAGAAATGTTAATTAATCATCATAAATGTTTTACAGTGATTCCTCTTACAGTCTAGCAGAAAGAAGCTAAGAAGATGTTATCATAATGTCTGTGAAACAGCTACAGAGCAATGACCTTGACTGGCGTCTGGCAACTCTCTTATCTTATTTCATTTTCCTGACTCATGCAAAACGCCTCAGGGCGGATCTAAGGCTCCGACTCTTTTCTTACTAACACGGACGTCTTAGAGACACACAGAGTTCCTTCCTGGATGCCGATATGGGAAGAGGGGCTGATTCTCTCTCGGGAGAACAGCCGGGCTGCAGGTTTGACTCAAGAGCCAATTCGAGTCTGCTTGTCGGCCAGGGCAGGAGCAAGCCGCTTCTGTCCACCTGGAGACATAAGTCTCATAAAAGTGTTTTCAACTCCCGAGGGGAGACTTTTATTTTGTAGGGGTAACCCTGGTGAAATAAACATTTCTATTTCTGTCTTTGATTTTGTTTTTACACTTATAAGAAGAAAATCATTTTAAAGTTTGTTTCTATTTTCTTTAAGTGAATACAACAATATGTTCCATATGTTTTTCTTCATTTAATCTTCTATTACAGGTTATAATCAATATATCATTACTCAAAGTTTTATTGAATTAATCTTTGCATCTCTCTTTATTCCAGAGTCTAACACTGTGAAGAAAAAAGAGTTGAAATGTGTTTTATTGTTTTTCTTAGTACTGGTTTATTAATCATGGTTTTATCATTTTTCTTAATTGGTTTAATGATTAATTATTGTGTACTATTCATTTTACTATTAATCCATTTGTGCAAAGTTGTGGATGTGATCTATAACCTTAGAGAAGGGATTGTAAGTACAACAGTTTAGTCTGTCTCTCCAGACTTCCAAGGTCTTTTTGCTGATAACAACAACACCAGCTGGCCGCAAGTGTGGGAAAAACAGAATGTTTTCTTCTCTCTCTTTTTTCTCTCAAAGAACTAATTTTCTGTTCACACCGTTGACACAGTTAGTAGTTCTACTTGTCTGTTCGTCGGAGAAAGGATGGTTCTGACTGGGTCTCTCTGAGGAGTGGTGTCCGTCTGGGCACCTGTCTGGTTGGGAGTCTGAATGATACTAACCTAATTCTACTGCCGAGAAGCGACTGATACCAGCGCCGGGAGCCACTGGGCTCGTTGGGGTGAGACAAAGGGCTTCTCAACCCCCGCTGTCATGAGGACATTATCCATCCTGCGGACTTCAGGAGGCGGTCACTCACAAACCTTCTACCTGCCTGCCGGTTCGGCTCTGTCTGAAGACATCTAAAGGTAGACAAATGTTTGCTGAGATAAAACGCCGAAGTCTAGCTCTGGAGGTGTCTAGTCTTGACATGCTGATGTGCTGGTCTGGTTTTCACTTGTGGAGAACAAGTGCTAAATTCATTAATTTCTTTTCATCCTATTCTTAAAGCTTAAACCTTTATCTTTATTCTCTCTTTTACTTAAAACTTAGTTAAGCAGCGTGCCAGTAAGTTATAACACCTGAAACTTACTGTTATGACAACTCTGAGGTGGAATTTTTATGTCGAAAATATAACTTGTGTTCATTTATTCATATAATATTTTTAATAAATGTTTGTGTGTTTAATCCTGTTCATATATCTAAAAATAAATTACTTTATTTTGGAAATACGTTCAGTTCACAAGTTTTCATTTCTCATTCATGATCAGAGGTGTATTTCATCATTTCTGGGATTTCATAATGCAAAGGTCTTGAGGGATTATTTTATGATAAATTAGCTGGTTCTGATTTTCATAGTATGGTCTCTTACAATTTTGAAAGACGACCGGAACTTTCAGCTGGAATCTTTCTAGCCTGGGCTGAAACAGATGGAAAAGTCACCTGAAAGACACCTTTTCGCCAAGGACCAGCGAGGACAAGCTTCCTAGAGGGTCGTTGCTGAGACAGCCATACCAGGGGTTCTTGAGCAGACATCACCAGGTAAAGCTGACGTGTTCGTGGTGACGTGTCAAGTTAAAGCCTGAGAGCAGAGGGGACGTGCTGAACCGGTTGTACACCTTACCAGAATAAAAGCAGAAACACTAATCCCTAATTTTCTTACCTTTTCTTACCCTTTATCCTTTGCCAACCATAAGTGAAGCGCCAGTAAATTGTTTAGTTTTAACATCAGAACTGACGTTTACTGTATGAGTTAATGTGAAAGAAATTCGGACGCGGGTTTTATCTCATTTACTTAGACGCTTAATATAAGAAACTCACGATCAGGTGTAAACTATGATTTTGTTCAATTTGTGTAAATAAATGATTGCATAATCTTTTATGAATCAACTTGAACTCGTCTGACGTTCCCTCATTGTGTCACTTCACTTTGCACAGACAAATATTAAAGTAATGAGGAAAACCTTGGTAAAATTTACTCTCATAACTTAGTTATGAGAAGATGTAGGGAACTTATTTTACATAAGTAACCCATTCCTACATATTGGTGGCCGTACGAGTCCCATTCCTGAATGGTGAACTCTGATTTAAATATTTTTCTCATGAAAAAAATATTTCTGTGCATTGTGGAAGTAAAAAATATATTACTTTCTCATATTGGCAAAAGAGTGATGCTATAAGACCATTTTATGACTGGAGGTGTTCAGATAATAGCAAAGGCTGCAGATTTTGTTGTTATTCTGTCATTCTGAGGTTTTAATAAGGCTTTAACATTGCTGCTGCTTAAAAATAAGCATTTCACGGCTTCTCAAGGTGATGACGTCACAGCCAGATAGTGACTCGCCTTAGTTTCTCTCTCATAGCAAACGCTATTTCATTTTTAAAATCTAATCTGTGAAGGCAGTTTATGATTTTATTTGCATAACTCCGCTAACATCCACATCGAGTTGGCCACTCGATTTGTTACACGTATTTCATTGGAAATAAAGACGTGAGGAGATTACAGTAGCGCAAGGAGATAACAAAGTTAGCTTCGAGCTACTTCCGGGACTGAAAAATGTCCCGGTGTAACGGCAAAAAGCCGTTTCGGCAGCTTTAAGCGGGCCGATAAACCTGCAAAACTGTCGGTTGGACCGCAGCAGAGAACTCTGTGCGTGTTCAGACGCATTTTCTGAGCAGGTTAGAACTCCGAGCTGCGAAGGCAGATGGAGAAATAGGTAAACAGGAGAACAGACGGAAGAACTTCCGGTTCAACCCGCCAGCTTAAAAGAAGCTGGTTTGTATCGCTAGCGTAGTAACAAGCTAACGCTAGTTGATTTTGAAATGCCGTGTTTTAAACTGTGGTTTAAAACTGTGAAATTATATTCAGTACGTGTTTCTTGTGTGTAAAAGCTGCGCTTGTTGACTCTTGCACTATAAAAACGGACACCCGTTTTTATCCTGAAGGAGCGCATTGAAGGCGGGATTTCCTGTTAACGCTCCGTCATTGGAACAGGAGCCGCGGTGCTGCTGTCACTCAAAGGTGAGTAAAGCTGAGGTGTTTTCCTTTGCAACAGCGACATCTGCTGGTTGGTTTAAGGTATTACTCTCTTAAAAAGCCATTTTCACCAACACACATTTTTCTCAACTTTTCAGCCAAAATCGAATCAAAACACAGGTTAATCAACTCTGTTTATTCAAAATAAAATAAAACTTAAACTAATGCATTTAAATAAAACCAATTTCAATTAAAAAAGGGTTTATTTCTACAAAAATCCTATATATAAACAGGTTTAACTGTATTGCACTCAGTCTGTTTTTACAATCTCTGTTTAATGGAAGTGTTCATAAACAAGCTTAAATACTAAAAACTAATTGCTGAACAGCAGTAGTTAAAGGTTTATGCTTAAAGGTGGACATTCTATTTGAACTATAGTTTGTAAATTAGATGACTGTAATAGTTAAGCTAAATATAGGTACAATTCAAAGGTGAGAACTTGCTTTTGAAACAATTAAAAACAGTAAAAAATACTGATTTTTAACAGAATACAGTTCTGAACCAACAGATCTGTTCACATTAGATTTAAACCACATCAAATTATTTTACAAAGGTAAAATAAAAAATTGAAAAAAGGGTTTTAATGCAAAAAGCTTTATTACAGCGTGATCAACAATGTTTGTATATTAAGTCATCTCTTTTATCTGTAAAATTGTTTAGAAATTTAGCTGGTTTACAAAATATTTGTGTTTGTAAATAACTTTAATTATACAGGGTAAGCGCAACGCTCCTCAACAATTAAAAATCTTTTGCAGACAATATTTTAAAGAAACCAAAAGCTATTTTTAACTTCTCAATTAACTACTATAAAAGTTTTGACACATTAATTGCAAAAAACACACTCTAAACTCAACAAGCACTTCAAAATCATGGCTGATGATCAAAACCCCACACCGCCTCTAGATACCACGCAGGACCAAACTACCCCTGCAACTCCTGGAGGAAGAAGGCTGGTTGTTTGTGGCGTATCAGAAGCCCTAGAGGTCTTAACGAAGCCGACTGCTCCAGGCTTTCTTGAGCAAGCTGAAAAATGGGACATTGACACCCTAAATGATCAGTTAAGACTAATTGCAGATGAAGTCGAGAAGAGAGAAAAANATTCATATGTCGGAAATATAACTTGTGTTCATTTATTCATATAATATTTTTAATAAATGTTTGTGTGTTTAATCCTGTTCATATATCTAAAAATAAATTACTTTATTTTGGAAATACGTTCAGGTCACAAGTTTTCATTTCTCATTCATGATCAGGGTGGGTATTTCTTTATTGTCTGGGATTTCATAATGCAAAGATCTTGAGGGATTATTTTGTGAGATTGGGCTGGTCCTAATTTCATAGGGTGGTCTCTTACACAGGAGTTTTACTTTTAAAATGTAAGTGTATTTAATTTAGTTGTGTTAGTTATGATAGTTTAGTTATGTTAGTTATGATAGTTTAGTTCATATGTAAATACAATAAAATTAAACAAAGATTTAGAATAATTATTTTGATCCATACATTGGTAATGTGCGACTGGACCTCACTTTATGTTGAACAAATTGGGCCCTGAGGTTAAAAAAGTTAAGAAGCCCTGGTTTGGAGGCAGTCTGTTTAACACCGTGGACAGTTTAAGGAGCTGCTGACCCACATCGGTGCTGATATCTCCAGCCAGAACAACTGCAGACAGTTAATTTCAGCTAAAGAGCTCCTGTCCGTCTGTGTTGGGTCCAGGAAACCCTCACATGGAAAAATGATTCTCTGATTGGTTGCTGCGGTGCGTCGAGCAGCGATATTTAAATTTTGTTGAACTCGAGCAGCGGCTGCGTTGGACACGCTGCATGTATGGAAAATGCTCTGCCGCATCCTACTGCTACTTTTTGTGTGGCGCTAAACTGGCAAAACACGCCGCACTGCTCCCAGATGTGCGTCCACTGTAAGGTTTGCATGTAAACTGGCTGCTTCAGGTGCTCAGGACGTGTCCGATGTGAACCCGGCTTCATGGTCTAGCAGGTTTTCAGGCCAGTGCGTTTTTCTTCATGAGTTCAACCACAGCAGACAGTAGGAGTGATACTGCCCGCCCCCGGCTGTTCATGGATTTCATTGCAGTTGCAAATCAGCATTTGCTTGTTCAAACAATATATAATGCTTCAACATTAAAATTAAATTTATATTAATTTTTGTAATAGTAGTTATGTTTAATAATTGTTATATCCTATTCTCCCACAGGAATCATAATAAACCATCACAGCCTTATTACACAAGATTTATTATTTGGCTTTGTGCCTTCCTCTGCTGTAGCGCTGTCATCCTGGCAGTGCAGGTTTTAGTAACGTGACAGGATTTTTAAGGTGCTGCAATGTTCAGTTTTTAAGTTTGTTAGAAAGTATTTGGAATTTAGATTTTTATTTATTTTATTTTCTAATAGGTTTGTGATGATTATTGCTTGAGCTAATATGAAACTCTGGTTTGTGTTTATGTGTTTCTGCAGCTCCTTGTTAGCGGGGTCTTTCCTGCCCAGCTCTATCCCTCGGGCTCCAGGGCCTCTGTGGTGCTCCTGATGCCCCTCACCCACAGCTGAAGATCCCGGGTGGGCGAGGGAGTGTCAGGGATCACTCTCATGGCGTGCTCATTCACAAGGTAACCCAAGTACACCTGAGCCTGTTGGTGTGTAAACAGAACCACACGGTCTCAGTGCATGAAGCTCACTACTGTAAAGTGCTATATGCAGGGGTCCACATAAGGACCTTTATGTTGTTAGTTTAGACCCTCAGTCAAAGTTTGAGCCAATCAAGGTGTTCCCAGGCCAGCTGAGAAACATAGTCCCTCCAGCTTGTCCTGGGTCTTCCTCTGGGTCTCCTCCCAGTGGGACGTGTCCAGAACACCTCACCAGGGAGGAGTCCAGGAGGCATCCTAACCAGATGAACCACCTCAACTGGCTCCTCTCGACGTGGAGGAGCAGCGGCTCTACTCTGAGTCCCTCCTGGATGACTGAGCTTCTCAGCCTATCTCTAAGGGAGAGRCCAGDCACCCTGCYGAGGAAACTCATTTCAGCTGCTTGGATCTGTSATCTCCTTCTTTCAGTCACTACCCAAAGCTCCTGACCATAGATGAGGGTAGGAACGTAGACCAACTGGTAAACTGAGAGCTTCACCTTCTGGCTCAGCTCTCTCTTCACCACGACAGACCGGTACAGCGCCCACATCACTGCAGACTAGAAACACCAGACTCCTCTAGACACACCAGATACACCAGTCCACCTGTCAATCTCCCACTCCATTCTTCCCTCATTCGTGAATAAGACCCTGAGATACTTAAACTCCTCCACTTGGGGCAGGACCTCCTCCCCGAACCGGAGGAGGCAACCAACCATTTTCCAGCTCAAGACCATGGTCTGGGATTTGGAGGCACTGATCCTCATCCCATCTGTGAACCGCTCCAGTGAGAGCTGAAGATCAGGATCTGATGAAGCCAATAGGACCACATCATCCACAAAAAGCAGAGATGTGATCCTAAGGTCACCAAAAAGGATCCCCTCAACACCTTGGCTGCTCCTAGAAATTCTGTCCAGTCCCCGAGGGACACGGTCGAACGCCTTCTCCAAGTCCACAAACACACGTAGACTGGTTGAACTCCCATGAAACCTTCAGGACCCTGCTGAGGGTGTAGAGCTGGTTCACTGTCCCACGATCAGGACCAAAACCACACTGCTCTTCCTGAATCTGAGATTCGACTATCCAACAGACCCTCCTCTCCAGGACCCCTGAATAGACCTTACCAGGGAGGCTCAGAAGTGTGATCCCCCTATAGTTGGAACACACTTGCAGTCCCCCTTTTTAAATAGGGGGACCACCACCCTGGTCTGCCAATCCAGAGGAACTGCCCCTGATGTCCATGCGGTGTTGTAGTCGCGTCAACCAACAGAACCCCACAACATCCAGAGCCTTAAGGAACTCCGGGAGAATCTCATCCACCCCTGCGCCCTGCCACTGAGGAGCTTTTTAACCACCTCAGTGACCTCGGCACCAGAGATTGGAGAGTCCGACCTAGGGTCTTCAGGCTCTGCGTCCTTATGGGAGGACAAGTCGGTGGGATTGAGGAGGTCTTTGAAGTATTCTACCCACCAACCCACAACGTCCCGAGTTGAGGTCAAGCAGTGCACCATCCCCACCATAAACAGTGTTGGTGGTGAACCACTTTCCCCCCCTGAGATGCCAGATGGTGGACCAGAGGTGCCTTGAAGCCATATGGAAGTCTTTTTCCATGGCCTCTCCGAACTCCTCCCATGCCAGAGTTTTTATCTCAGCGACCACCCGAGCCGCAATCTGCTTGGACTGCTGATACCTATTGGCTGCTTCCAGAGTCCCACAGGCCAAAAAACCAGATTGGACTCCTCCTTCAGCCTGATAGCATCCCTCACCGCCGGTGTCCACCAGCAGGTTAGAGGGTTCAGAGGGTTTGAGGGTTGCCACCACGACAGGCACGACAGCCTTTCTGCCACAGCTCAGGTAAGCCGCCTTGACAATGGAGGCACAGAAAATGGCCCACTCAGACTCAATGTTCCCCACCTCCCCCGAAACGTATTCAAAGTTCCCCCAGAGGTGTGAGTTGAAGTTACATGTGATGGGAGACTCTGACAGACGTTCCCAGCAGACCCTCACTACACGTTTGGGTCTGCCAGGTCTGACTGGCATCCTCCCCCACCAACGGAGCGTTGAGGTGAGTCCAACTATATCTAGTGGGAACCTCTCAACCTCACACACCAGCTCAGGCTCCTTTCCCACCAGAGAGGTGACATTCCACGTCCCTAGAGCCAGCTTCTGTAGCCGAGGATCAGACCGCCAATGTCCTCGCCTTCGACCACTGCCCAGCACACATTGCACCTGACCCCTACAGAACCTCCCACAGGTGGTGAGCCCATGGGAAGGGGGACCCACATCTCTGTGCCTGACCGGACTCAGTGGGTGAAAGCCCAGCCACCAGGTGCTCGCCAACATGCCCCACCTCCAGACCTGGCTCCAGAGTGGGGCCCCGGTGACCTGAGTCCGGGCGAGGGAACACTCAGTCCATTGACTGTGTTCATCATAGGGGTCTTTGGGCTGCACTTTGTCTGATCCCTCACATAGGACCTGTTTGCCTTAGGTGACTCTACCAACGTAGCTCCAAGTTTTCCAAATCTCTTTCATAAAATTTCACTGTCACATGTACGTACAGAAAACCTCACTGTAATGGAAATACTTACAGTTAACTTAAAAACCATTAAATATTTGTGTTATTGTTGTATTTATTATCTAATCTTGTGTCAGAAGCCTGGGCACATTCTTATCCTAAAACCTGTTTTTCTGTTCTTCTCTGTGTGAATCCAGGATGATAAATTAACAGTGACCCAGTCTGCTCCAGTCGGGGGGAACCCCTCGTTCCTCTGCTTCCAGTACCAGCTGAGTGAGCGCCGCACTGCCTCCTGGAGTACAGTCCTGTCAAAGGACAGCCTCTTCTTAGAGATTCCAGCTGGTTCACTGGTGGAGGGCAGCAAAGAGGGGTATGTTCAAGAAGACGTTCACACCGAGCACAGAAAATGATGTTGTATAAAAACATGGTGTGCTGCCTGTTTTATAGCTTGGAACAACCTTTACCAAATCAGTCTAGTCTAATGAAACAAAAGGGGTGTGGCCAAAAAGGGGTCCCTGGGGGGCAGTGAGACCCAACTTTTTTTCTGTTAACATGCATTTTTTGAAAGAGTGGACCCAAGGGTACATGAAAATACATGAGAAGTTCAGTAGTGGGGGGGGCATGGTGACCCACTCTA